TTCCAAAATAATTATCAGGCGGTGATTAGTGATCGATACTGATGCCAAAAATGCAATCAGTAAAATTTTTGTCTCTCTGTATGTATGTATGTTCGTTATAGAACCAAAAACTACTCGACGGATTTTAACGAAATTTGGTACAATTATTCTTCATACTCCTGGGCAGGTTATAGTATACTTTTCATCACGTTACGATCAAAAGGAGCAGATCAGTGAAGGGAAATATTGGGAACACACAAAGAAAAAGATCACTAAGGATGACCAATATGCGATTCATACATACTTTCTCAGATTCTTACTACATATATATTTTAATTTTTAAATTAATGCCAACTCAACCTCCTTTTTTTTAATGGTAACCCCACCTACGCTATCAGTATACATCGGTGAAAATGAAAGAGCAAGTCAGTTTGTCCATCATGATAAAAACACCTGGAATTCGGCACGATGGTTTCCAGGGGCGACCACGTGGAGGTCGACCTGACGTGGGACATTGCTAACAATGGGACTGGTAGTCCGCATCATTAACAATCCTCCCCCCCCCCCTCACTCAACCTACCTAGGACATACAAATATTTTTTTTTACTTCAAATTGTTCCACAGTTACAAGAGCAAATAATGCCAATCCTGGACTTGATGGCGGCCATCTCATCACCACACTTCGCCAAGTTGAAGGACTTCATACAAATGCAATTGCCGTCCGGTTTCCCTATCAAGATCGGTAAGTTTTGTTAACTCTATATTTTTGAAAAGTGCCTTGTTTAATCTTTGGTTGCCAATCATAGTTTTTATATTATCTGTGCTTGCCACTATATTTGTGTGTGAGCGCATAACTAGTTTCTGATTTTTTTACTTGCATACTCGTAGTAGTAAGAAAACCATCAAATTGGTCCTTCGAGTCTAATGGGCGCAAAGTATTTTACAGAGTGCTATCAGGCTCGAAGGACCAATTTTTCAACAGTTTGGTGGGGGATTTTACCAAAGGGAGACTTTGTACAAAAGTCGTTTGCTTGGGCATCTCTATCCCGTTCCTGTTTCTACCGTGAAGCAGTGGTGTTTGCATGGCTGTGTTTCCGTTTGAAGGGTGGAATATGGCGGTGAATTTACAAGGTACAGAGGAATAACACCTGAGTCCTCAGGAATGGCAACGCATGGGGGTATCATGGACAAAACAGTATACTCTGTTATGTCCATGGTACTGCTCATGTCTATAGGCGACGGTTACCACTTTCCATCAGTTGGGCCGTCAGCTTGTTTGCCATTCTAAGTTGCGTAATAAAAGGTATGATACATTATATCTTTATCTCTGTGAACACGCAGAAATCCCTCTGTTCCACGTGATGAACGCCAGGATCACGTTCGGTAACATCTTCGCCACATCGAGTCCTGTTCGGCACGTGGAGTGCATACAGGAGGGGACGCGGCCCGCATGTATAGTCGACGATGGCTGTTTCGCGATAGGCAACGGGTACAGGGACGCGGCATGCCGTACTTCCTGCGATGACGATGGCCTGCTTCAATACGCTATCCAGCAGAGCCTGCTTGACGGTTCCTGCGATGATCAGGTCAGGTCAAAATACCATAACAACTTTGTAAATTTTGTAGCAGAATTAAAAACAAAACGACGATTTAAAAGGCAAATAAGTCAATTTGAGTAGAGATTGTTTGTATTTAGCTTGAGATATCAGCTAATATTTCCGTAGTGGAAAGGAATAGGATAAACACAATATAAAAGTACGATAAAATTTAATAGAAGAGCAAATACAGAAAAGCAACGATTGATTTTAGCAGTGTGTCAACTAAATTTAAAAACATGTTTTTAAATTACAACCGGCCAGTAATTTATAGCTGTATGAAAATAAACCTATTTCTAACAGAGATGATTTGAATTTGAAAATGGAATGGTAATTCCATTTGTATTATTGATAACTACTGGTGGGGCATATGATTAATGATAGGTTAGGATGAAAGCCTGTTGTACTTTTTAAGAAGACGTTTGCTTGTTATAATATGCTATTCAGTATAGCTGGCTCGATATCTCCTGGGGGCCTACCACGAAATGATATTCCGAAGTTTCGGACTCAGTTTCGTGTTTTTATTCATACCTAAATTGGCCCAGTAAATGGAGCTTAACATTTCGTTCGTCATAAATCCTACCATAAAAGTCCAATAGAATAATATTTTAATATTCTTAATAATTTTAAACGGTAAATATTATGTCATTTTAACATCAAATTTGTGTTTCGTTCGGCTCCGAAAATACGGAAAACATTTCATGGTAGGCCCTCTGGAGCTTTTGTTTAAATTAATATTATAAATAGGAAAGATTAGATTTTTTTTTTTGTAAAGGACAAACTCAAAAATATTGAGCAAATTTTAAACATTATTTTACCTATTAACAACTACATTATCAATGTGTAATAAGACTGTATTTATTTTATTTTTGAAAAATTTATAGATTGCTACTGTTGTAGCACTTAAGGTTCGAAAATATTTTTGCTTGATCTGTTTTAGAAAATCAAATGACACGTCTTCTTACTACGTTGTTTTATTGCGAACTGAAGTAATAATCCCATTTTACTAGTACTTATATTATAAAACATTAGGTGACGGCGTGTAGTGTGTTTGTGTGCGTAAAGTATGGATGTAAGGTATATGCTGGGGGCCTACCATGAAATGAAATTATGAATTTTCGGGCTCAATTTCGTATTTTTATTCGTACCTAAATCGACCTAGTAAATGGAGCTTAACGTTTCGTTCATCATAAATCTTATCCTAATAATCCAGAGGAATGATATTTTAATATTTTTAATAATTTTAAGCGGCATGTATTACGTAATTTTAACATCAAATTTTTATTTCGTTCGTCCCCGAAATTTCGGAATATATTTCATGGTAGATCCTCAGTATGGATTGGTGTGTGGACTGTATGTTAATATTACATAATATATATATATATATATATATATATATATATATTCCTTTATTGATCTTTATGAATAATATACTGTAAATAGCTACAACACCTGTAGGTGTACGAACTAAGCGTGTGAAGTCGGGGCGTGTCGCTAGTTATTGAATGAATGGAATCCTGGTGGTGTGCAGGTGGACGTGTGGGAGGCGCTGCGTTGCGAGCGGCCGCGCAACCCTTCGCCGCCGCACCTGCCGCCCTCGCCGCCCTCGCCGCCCTCGCCGCCCTCGCCCACCGCCGCCGCCGGCCTGCTCTCGCACGAGGACTGCCAGCTGCAGAGGTTAGCACGCACGCACACACGCACGCACGCACGCACGTACAGACACGAATACGCACACATACAAAGCGAGAGAAGGAGAAAAGATGAACTTTATTTGAGGAATAACACCTGAGTCCTCAGGAATGGCAACACATGGGGGGTATCATGGGCGAAACAGTATACTCTGTTATGTCCATAGTACTGCTCATGTATATAGGCGACGGTTACAACTTTCCATTAGGTGGGCCATCAGCTTGTTTGCCGTTCTAAATTGTATGTATATATATATATATATATATATATATATAATAGTCGAAAATAATTTTGGCTTTATTATTAAATATAAAATGGCTAATAAGGCAAATTAATTAATGGGTTAATATAAAAATGATAAAGTGAAAATTTTACTAGAACACACACTACTTGATGATGCCGTGTAACACATTAATTGCACAACACATTCAAATACCTATATCTGTTTGTTTTTGCCATATATTGATTGATCGAGATAAAAAAAAGCCTATGCTATTCACCATATTAAAATTTCATGGCGGTTTGTTGAGCGATTTGGCCGCTAAAGTTTAATATATAAAACAAACTCACTTTCACATTATTATAATTGTATTATTATTGTATTTGCTTTTGACGCGTCACTATTGGCTTGACGTTTTTCTAGTTTAAACAAATTTTATTTGCAGGCGCTGGCGGTTATAAACTAGTATTATATAACTGGCTATTAAATTAGAATTATTTTGGCTAATTCCGCTACCATTAGTATGTGTGTGAGACTGACAACACATTTTTTTTTGATGGGTGGAAACGGTATGGTAACCCCGCCTGCGCTAACGGGATACGCTGGCGGAGCACCAGTGAAGGGTGATAGATGAGAATGAAAACAGGCCAGTTAGCCCATCATGATGAATTCATCAGGAATTAACCATGATAGTTTCCAGGGGGAACCGCGTGGAGGTCGACCTGGTTGGGTATATTGCTAGCAATGGGATTCTCAGTCTCCATTACTAACAATCCCTTGTTAAAAAGTGGCAACACATTGTTAAAAAGGTATAAATAACAACACGGTCGAAAATTTGTCATTTGTAGTTTGGGCGTTGATCGATTTTAACTTCGAATAAGTTACTAGCAGCAATCTAATTATTTACCTAAAGATCCCTCCTTTAGAGGTACAACACGTATTGCAAAACGTGCGTGAACAAAATGCCAGTCGGAGATTGATGGCTAATATGGAAGGTTAGATTATAAGTTTTGGTAGTAATAGTGGTGGTCAATCCTCGAGTGTTGCCAGTCACACACGTACAAATGGTAGCGGAATTAAACAAAATAATTCTATTTAAATAAGCAGTGATATGGACTTCCGTAAGATAAGACCTAGTTCAGTAAATATTGTTGTATACATTCGCGCGTGTAGTTTGAAGAGTGGTCGTTCTTGTTCTTGTTTGAGTTTTATAAGTTGTACTTATTTATTGGCTGCTAAAAGAGGCTAGGTGTTTTTATTAAAGCAAAATTGCGTATATATTTGTATGTTTCTTATATTTTTATAAGCTATTTAACTTGCAATGTTTTTTAGCCTCATGAACTTACATTCTTGGTTGTGCTCTCAGATATAGCGTGTGGTACTTTATAACTATTTTCTTACTGTTTTGTACAAAAAGATAAATCTTAAATATATATATATATATATATATATATATATATATATATATATATATATATATATATATATATATATATATATAGGTATATTTATTATATAAGTAAGTAGGTATTATATGTATTTATGTAATATTTTATTATATATTATATTTTTTTTATTTAACTATGTATTTGTTTATGTATTAATAGTTTTAGCACTTCAGCTGCCCGCTAACGAAATGTTTTCTAACTATATCGGGTTGACTGGAAGAGATCTCTGTCAGAGATAAGTCCACCCTTGTTCACAACATTTATAAATACATTATTTTACATGTAACTTACAAGTGCAATAAAGATAGATAATTTATTTGCATTACTTACAACACACAAATTACAATATAAATATAATATACATAAAAAACGAGAACATAAATGATTAAAAAATATACATAAAGCTAAGTAAAATTTTTGATTTGTGCGTGTGCCATAACAATACAAAACGGTCGCAACTCGGTGAACTCAACAAGAATTGGAAGTGGAAGCTACGTAGTTGCTACCAGTTGACCGCTAGCGGTTCCGCAGAGCGATCGAGGCGTCGCTGCGGTCGATGTCGCTGGGCGAGCGGCCGCCGGAGCTGGCGCCGCCGGAGCTGGAGCCGGACGCGGAGCTGCAGGCCGCGCTCGCGCTGTCGGCGCGCGAGCACTCGGCGCGCGAGCACGAGCGGCTCGCCGAGCGGCTCGCCGAGCAGCGCGCGCTCGACGAGGCGCTGCGCCTCTCGCTGCTCGACAACTAGCGCCCGCCGGCGACACTCGCAGCTGCTGCACCACCAGCGGTGAGTGCGGCCAGCGGGGGGACACTGACACCTGCTCCACGACTAGCGGTGAGTGCAGCCAGCAGGGGGGACATTGACAGCTGCTCCACTACTAGCGGTGAGTGCGGCCAGCGGGGGGACACTGACAGCTGCTCCACGACTAGCGGTGAGTGCAGCCAGCAGGGGGAACACTGACACCTGCTCGACGACTAGCGGTGAGTGCAGCCAGCAGGGGGGACACTGACAGCTGCTCCACGACTAGCGGTGAGTGCAGCCAGCAGGGGGAACACTGACACCTGCTCGACGACTAGCGGTGAGTGCGGCCAGCAGGGGGGACATTGACAGCTGCTCTACCACTAGCGGTGAGTGCGGCCAGCGGGGGGACACTGACAGCTGCTCCACGACTAGCGGTGAGTGCAGCCAGCAGGGGGAACACTGACACCTGCTCGACGACTAGCGGTGAGTGCAGCCAGCAGGGGGAACACTGACACCTGCTCGACGACTAGCGGTGAGTGCAGCCAGCGGGGGGACACTCACAGCTGCTCCACGACTAGCGGTGAGTGCAGCCAGCAGGGGGAACACTGACACCTGCTCGACCACTAGCGGTGAGTGCTGCCAGCGGGGGGACACTCGCAGCTGCTCGACCACTAGCGGTGAGTGCAGTCAGCGGGGGGACACTCTCAGCTGCTCGACCACTAGCGGTGAGTGCAGCCAGCAGGGGGGACACTGACAGCTGCTCCACGACTAGCGGTGAGTGCGGCCAGCAGGGGGAACACTGACAGCTGCTCGACGACTAGCGGTGAGTGCAGCCAGCAGGGGGAACACTGACACCTGCTCGACGACTAGCGGTGAGTGCAGCCAGCAGGGGGGACACTGACAGCTGCTCGACGACTAGCGGTGAGTGCAGCCAGCGGGGGGATACTCACAGCTGCTCTGCCACTAACGACAATTTTGATCGATGGATTGACCACGTGACAAGAGATGATTACCAAATAACGATGATTGTACGTGCACGTGTGTGTAAACAGGCAAGAGCTGTTCGTCTAAATATATTGAAAGAAATTTATATTTTTTTTTATACCACTGAGGTGGCAAACAAGCATACGGCCCACCTGATGGCAAGTGGTTACCGTAGCCTATGAACACCTGCAATACCAGAGAAGATAAATGAATCTGATTTATATAGAGAAACAATTTATTTTAGTAGAAAACAACAATAAGGTAATAAGTCATTAATCAAAATGTTTTTAATTTTCAGATCTCAATAGAAAAATATGATGCGTCCACTAAAAGAAGACTTTGCGCCTAAAAGTACTTTATGTTAGTTAAAATGTGTACTCTAGTGAACCGTTCATATATTTATTCAGCGTTATAGTAACTGACGAGGTTGATCGCTACCCGACTGTGACACTTATGATGATGGCATGAAAGTTTATAATTGTTTGTCGAATGTTTGAGAAATAGGGGGGTCTATATAAGATGTGTTCGAAATAAGGTGGATTTAGAATAAGCAAGCGTATATTTTTAAATTTTCCTTTAATGTAATCGTGTTAAGAGCATTCTATGAGTATTTTTTAGTTATGCAACTTTATTAGCGAACAAATTTTGTTTTTTTAATTGTAAATCCACCTTTATAACATCGTTCCAAATTCAAAACCAGTTTTATTTTCAATTATATTTATAACAGATGAAAATATAAATTGAATAAATTTAGGAATTTTGTAGATATAACTTTGTCGCGTGAAGCGTATAAATAAAATAAGAAAAAAGGTTGTGTTCCAAATTTGAAAATTGTTTAGAATGTAATGGACGCTGTGGCTTCGTGAGCATTTACTGGTCAAATTAACGATGGAAATATTTATTATTCCTTTTAAATTATTCCTTTATCTTTTTATCTCAGTGTGTGCTAAACAATGATTGGTTATTATTGGCTAATACCTTTGTGAAGTCATTTTTCATCCCTATTTTTACCAAATGTGAGTAAAACTTAAGAACTGACTCTTAATAATAATGTTAAATAATAACTATCGGGAGTTATACTGTGTTGTAGTTATTAATTTGTCGGCTTTACTCGTGTTTTAACTACAGGGATGCCCGACTAGTTACTAAATGGGAGCTCTTATTCATGTGCGCGGTTCATTGCTGTGTCGCGAGCAGCGTGTTTTTATACCGATTTTATAGCAATGTTACGCAAACATACGTTCTCATGTCACCGGGTGACGGGTTTGATTCCTGGGTCAATCCATCGGGTGCAGTTGGGTGTCATTACAAACGACGCTCTGGCGAACCGCGCTCATGAATAAGGGCTCCTGTTGAGTTTGAAGCTAGTCGAGCTTCCACGAATTTAAAACTGAGTAAAGCTGACACAAATGATTGCAAGGCTTTTAATATGTAGTTCGAAATTAAAAATCTTGTTTTAAAGACAAACACACATTCCGTCTTCTTATTTATTAAAAGGTTCGTTTAACGTCGTATATATTTTTTATAATTTATCACTTTTTCAAATTAAGATAGTAGTATAAAAAATAAATGACAACGATCCATTAATTCAAGTAAGTGTTTAAGACTATGAAATATTAAATAATTCCCAATATTTAATAATGATAAATTAATATTTTCCAATATTTATTAGTAATTAATTAAATGCTTTCCAATATTTAATAGTAACTAATTAAATATTTTCCAATATTTAATAATAACTAATTAAATATTTGCCAATATTTAATAATAATTAATTAAATATTTTCCAATATTTAATAACAATTAATTATATTCCACTAATTAATAATGTAAATTAATATTTTCCAACATTTAATCCAAAAAGTCCGTCCAATTGTTCTTATTAAACTATATAATTTTTTTTTCATATTGCCAATCATTGGGTAGTATACTGCACTGAAATATTACAAAATTATTTAAATATATTTTTTTTTTTACAATTCGTAATAATTTTAAAATTGTAATAAATTTGTTTAAGTTACAAATAAATAATTGAAGTTACAAAATATACAATTAGTTAACATAGATATATTGTGAGTCGTATGTTTTTTTTCCTTATGGATTTATATTGGAATGACCATAATATTTTTTTATTTATTAATTTATTTATTAAAATAATTATAATAATAAAATACCAAATAAATATAACAATAATGCTTATATATAAAATTGCATTATATGTAATGCTTCAATGTATGAATTATGTATGATGGCTATTGGTTATTTAACATTAGTGGTTTGATTTGATGTTACTATAATGTCATCCTTCTCAATCCTTCACTGTTAGACAGGGATGGTAACACGAGATAGGAATAGTTTTATCAACTAGACCAATATATCGAAAAAGATCTACGAGTTTCCTTGAAATAATTGTAAGTAATTAAATATTAGAGACTTATACCAAGGGGTTTAAAAACACTTATGTATACGAATCATAATAGGACTTGCTATCAACCCACAACATCAACGGCATTGCATGTGTGCTGCCGGCCTTTTAAAAAGGAATATGATCTTTTCTTGAAGGTTACGATGTCGTATCGGTTCGGAAATACTGCTGCTGGAAGTATGGGTGTAATAGGAAACAAGTCATGTACTTTTTGATGGGTGGTAATGGAATGGTAATCCCGCCTGCGTTATCGGTATACGCGATCAGGGCACTAGTGATGGGTGACAGGTGAGGATGAAGCAGGTTTATTAGCCCATCATGACGAATTAAATAAGAATTGTTCACTATGGTTTCCAGGGGGAAGCATGTGGAGGTCGACCTAATAGGGCATATTGCTAGCGATGAGGCTGTCAAACTCCATTGTTAACAATCCTTTTCCCCCCTACAAGTCATGTATTAGGTGCATTTAAGTGTTAAATAAATAAATAACTGGTGTTGTCACGATTGAATCGGTTTTGTTTTTTGTAATATAATCGTAAATTTTTCATTTGCAAATAATATAATAATAATAATATATTACCTTTGTTCTTTTTTTTTTTTTTTAAGAATGTAATCAGTTATAAATGTTTTTTTTTTTCTAATGTATAACTGGGCGATGTAAATGCACTAGAATGTTAATATTTCTCTCTCACCACGAGAGGTGTTTTAAATTCTGCGGGTTATACAAAGTAAGTCTATTATGATTCGTGTAAGGGGGCCTTTTTAATTTCCCAAAGAAGTATGGTATTTTTGATTTATAACAATATTTGCAGAATAATGAAAATGGGTAAATATCTTACTACATTTACACAGTCTATTCGTCCAGTGTCTCGACAGAATACCGTCCCGAATTGGCACGTAATTATCCGGGACGTGTTGGACTACTGGTTGTTCCTTACACTGTGATATTATGTTTATCACATGCAATATGTTTTACTTTTAATACCTTGACGCTATTATGAAGTCGCTAAACATTCTTACTTTTAGTAATTCATAGGTCGAGTATATTTGTATGTTGAAGGCAAAATACTAAGTTTTATTTTTCATATGTCCATCTATGTTGTATATGTATTTATTTTTATTGTAAAATTTTACTCTTGGCAATTTTAAGTTTAATGAGGTTATTTCTGTGTTGCCATGTTGCTGGGTTTTAATTTAATAATTGTATTTTTATCATGGCTACTTAATTTCTAATGTATTTTAATTTATATTGATTTTATTGCTACAATTTGTAAAGGTATCTAAAATGATCACTCTTAAATACATTTGCACTGGTCAGATAGTGTTTTTTTATTTTATTTTTTTATTTGAAGGGTGAAAATTGATATTTCACAGAATGAAGTCATATTAGTTGACTTATCGTGACGAATTTACTAAGAATTATCCACGATGGTTTACTGAGAGCCACATGGTAGGCAACCGGATAGGGTATATTGCTAGTAATATATACAGCTAAGTATGGCCCGTTACTAAAAATCCCTTCCTCTCATGTTTGCTATTTGTACTCTTTTAAAAATGAATGAGTAATGTGGCTATTTTAAACTTTAAACCTTACTGATGTCGCCAATAAATTGTTGCAATAAAGTGTTATATATATATATATATATATATATATATATATATATATATATATATATATATATATATATATATATATATATATATATATATATATATATATATTATATATATATATCTGATAACTATATATTATGTTCCTATATTGATGGTGAAAAAAATATCGTCACCCATTTCAATATCGCCCTAATTGGTTGGACAACTATTTTCGAATATGTTAAAATGCCAGCCTAATTATATATATATATATATATATATATATATATATATATATATATATATATATATATATATATATATATATATATGACATATTTACTACACATAACATGTTTAAATAGAATTTAATGAAAATGTAAACAAATGAATTCTTTTGTTAATTTATCAATTAAGACAATCTTCAGGTGTCTATTGGTATGCAATGAGACAGGTTGGCGGAGAGTGAAATACCACTCGTTGATGGCTGTAAACTGTTGTACTTCAGATTTACATGATAAGTACTCTGGACTTAACTATTTACAATATCTCCTTTATATTAACTGTTATGTGATAATATGTAATATAATATTAGGAATATGTAGTCCACTCCTTTAAACCGATGTTAGTTTTAATAATACGGTATCAAAAAATATTTTTCCCTAAAAAAAATTTTTAAAAAGAACAACCTGTACGTAACTTAACAGCACTACCAAAGTACGACATGTACATGACTTTTATTATATTGTCCTTGATACATACATCATCGTCATTATATCAGCCTTTAACTGTCCACTGCTGAACCTTCCCCATAAGGAATATAGTCGTTGATACAGATACATCTATATTCGGGGTTTTTATTATTATTATTTATTGGTAATATATTTTTTTTTCAAGGAAATTAAAAATGCTTTTTGAACCACCCTATTAATAAAGACTGACACCAATTTTAAGGAATGGGTTACCTTAATTGACATACTGTAAACAGTCTCAGCGACTAGGCATATGAGTTAACGACGTGATTATCTGAATTATTGATCTCGCTGGCGTTCTCCAAATGATCATTATGTCATTATTGTTGATTTAGTTTCATCATTTACTATATTCTCTAAATAAAGTTTTATCAGGCAGACAAATTTGATCAGTATCATTAAATGTCTCTATCAAGTTTATTGTCGTCATTTAGTCATATGACAAGCTCTGATCTAGTTAATTTTAAACTTCAATTTCAATTTGTCAAATTTAAATTCAATTTATTCGCAACAATACTACATACATTGTGTTGGATATTTTTTTAAGTAACAACAAGATATGATAAAACAACTTTACAATAAAACAGAAAAAGTATAAAGTAACAAAATAACTGTCCACCAATAAAAATTGTATTTCGCATTGTTTACACATATTTTAAATACACAATCGGGACTTAATGCGATGTAAAACGTTTTACAGGTAAATAGTATACTTGCTTTATTGCTTACGTTTTCTATATATACATATATATTATATACACGTTATAATTATCAATAGAAAATGTACTTCACATTTCTTATTGCCAAAATGGCTGCTCCAAACCATACTCACTCACTCGTATATCTACTTATATTTACTTATTGAAAGTCCTTCTACAATTCATGTTATATTGGTGCAATAAAGTGTTATATAAAGTAAATATATGCAATTTATAAATATTAATAAATTAACAAGTGTCTAATCGTGTTTGGTTATTAAGATTTATTATTATTTATTTTTGATTTTTGATTTATTAAAATTTCTAAAATCATGAATGTTACATTAGCATTGTACAATAAACCTTATTTTTATACCCACAGTTAAAGAATAGAACCTCAAACGTAGGAAAATAGGAATCGAATCCGTTTACTTCCGTTTTGGTTTCCTAATTTTCTTCGCACTGGTGATAAAATACTTCGATTAAGATGGTACGTGCTAAATAATATTGTAGTATTGTGAATTGCGTAGCAATAATTGAGTTGTTATATTTAAGACTATATATATACATTAATATAATATTTCGGTTAACCACGAATATATATATATATATGATGGTCATCTCCTGTCCATCATCATTTCAACCATTATCTGTCCACTGCTGGACATAGGTCTCCCCCATAGATCGCTATAAGGAACGGTCCTGAGCCACCTGACTCCATCCACTGACTCTCTGCAATGCATTTGAGGTCGTCACTCAATCTAGTGAGGGGCCGTCCTACACTGAATTGGCCCGTACGAGGTCGCCACTCAAGAACCTTTCTTCCCTGTTCTCGGTTCTTCGAGTTATGTGACCAGCCCATTGCCACTTCAGTTTGCTTATCCTTCCTTATACCATACCATACCAGCCGTGAATTGTCCACTGCTGAACATAGGCCTTTCTCTATTAGAGGGGGGGGGGGGGGGGTTGCCAGTAGCTGCCACGCTTGGTAGTCGTGGCAACTACTGCCATCTTATAAATGTTAAGAGGTTTTGACGCTTAACCGTCGATGTATATAAACTTTGATGGACATTTTGACAGTTTTTACTGTCCTGAGCGGGACTTTTGTACCCGAAGTCATTTATTATAATAATTGTCACTGACTTCCCTACAATTAAATGGTTTTTAGAATCCTTACGTTATGTCTTAGTAATATTTGTTTTGTTTTAATCACATGTCATCCACACCGTACTGTAGTGTTCGTAACATAGTTCTGGAAGAGATATACAGTAAAAGTTCTTTATTCGCAGGGTATACTCTCCGTAAATTTGAAACCGTGAATATAGACAGGCGAAGTACTTATACAGTAGCGTTACCATTTGACAACATACTTTAGGCATAGTTGTAATAAAGTCTGTTTTACTTTTTTATTAGTCCATTTGCTGACGCGTTTACAAAGGATACCTAATCCTTTTTAATAATATTTACCGATTAGAACCGCGAATATAGAAATCTTTAACCGCGAATATAGGAATTGGGTCGCAATTTTTTAATCCGCGAATAGTGAAAACGTGAATAAAGGAAGCGTGAATAAAGAGCTTTTACTGTAAATGTATAGCTTATACGAATGGTGTGGCAAAGTGTAAAAGGTTTTTATATTATATATAGGTGACGGATACCACTTTCCATCAGGTGGGCCGTCAGTTTGTTTGCCATGCCATTTAAAAATATAAAAAATGTAACACCTATACAGTGTAATTTGTATAGAATTAATTATACGTGTTATTGTAAATAATCACTTATGTATTTATTTCAATAAGATATTATTCTTGTTCCAATCAAATGTACAACCCTTTAACTGTATTGTAATGGTTTAATGTAATTATATTTCTGTATATTGAATTTTTAATGGTTGTTTTATTTGGATGCCGTACTCTTTTTTAATGGATGATAATGAAATGGTGCCCTGTCACCATATACCTTTTTGATGGGTGAAAATGGTATGGTAACCCCGCCTGCGCTAACAGGATACGCTGGCGGAGCACCAGTGAAGGGTGATAGATGAGAGTGAAAACAGGTCAGTTAGCCCATCATGATGAATTCATCAAGAAATAACCATGATAGTTTCCAGGGGGAACAGCGAGGAGGTCGACCTGGTTGGGTATATTGCTAGCAATGTGATTCTCAGTCTCCATTACTAACAATCCCTTTCCCCACGTCACCATATACTGTTAGAGCAGGCGGGGTTCCTATACCATTATCATCCATTATAAAAAAAAACCTAAAGGTTATCTGGAAGAGATTGCCTAGCGATAAGGCCGCCTTTTGTATCACTTCTCATTAAAATTTACTGTATTGATTTTTTTTATAAATGATGCATTAGAGTGTAAATAAATAAATGCACATCCCCGTGTATGTACACTTGCACTACAAAACGAATAATGCAAGTGTGTTACTTGCTTAATAATTTTATTTAGATATGACCCTATAAATTCGACAGTGTAATAAATGCCTAACGTAAAATATTCCGCAATGGTCTGCTGGTTATTAAGACCTTGATTTTTCAAACTGCTTTTTTGTTATTAGCATTCGCATATTCATACCTATTTGCAATTCATCTAATTGTTAGTGTGAGAAAAAAGCTAACAAGAAATTACATAGAAGTAATGATAAAAACTGTAAATCATATGGTTGCCTCCTTTCTTCTTATGCAAATATAATTAGTAAAAAGAGGATGAAAGATACACCACCTGTTGTCATCTTTCTCAATTCATAGCAGTGTATAGAAAATGTTTGATACGTCAATTATTTATCAATAACAAATTTTACATTACTAGATAATATATTGTGTTGATAGTTTATGTAGAAAGTATGCAAGCAGGTTGTGTCTAAATTTATATCAAAACTATTATTAAATGGTAGTTATATTTGGTTATACGGCCTATAGTATAACATTTTCTAATTTACTTACCAATATTTACAGCCAAACACTATTAATTATACAATTATATATACAATCTAATACACAATATATAAATAAAACTTCCTTATATAATTAAAAATTTAATTTAAAGTAAAAAAACACTCCCGCAAACGTTTCCCGTTTTTTCTGTTACTTTTTCAGTTTTGTCACATGTTTGTAAAACTTGTGAGTTTTTTTCTTTTCTACAATGGCAATCGGTCTTTATTTTTACCAATTCAGCCAGCATCAAGTATTTTATTTTTAGCTTCATTCTTCAGAATATCGCCAAGTTTAATGTTTCCCGCCTTTTTCGATCACCATATTATATATTCAACGATCATTATTTATTTGAATCAACGAAAATCTTTTTAACCAACATCAATTACAATTAAGGTAGTAGTAACAGAAGAACATAAGCATTCCTCTTGAGGGATTTTGCCAGTAGTTGCCACGCTTGGTAGGTGGATTGGCTTTGGTTTTAAGAGGAACGCTGCTGCCCGTCCCTTTCCCTCCTTTAGTCGCCTCTTACGACACCCACGGTAGTAATTGTTATTAATATCAAATGAAATCAAAGACATCATGGATTCGTCTGTTTATTAAGAATAGATAGTGTTGCCATGCGATGGAATTGTAGTTTTAAGAATCATAAATATTCAGTTTTTGGCAGTTCGAAAAATATACATCTTTTAGTTTTATCTTAAAAGTTATTTAACAATATACTTTTTATATAATTTAATTCTTACTTTCCATGTTGATTTAAATTTATATCAACATGTAATATATATACATCAGACTGTATCGGAAAATGTATAATAATCCGAAGCTTGTGACCTATTCATAAAACTGAACAACTTTTCAAAGGAACTCGAATCAAATTAGAAATATCATTTTTGTACCCCTTATACTTACTAAATTGAGCACATCAGCACACCATATGAAAAGTAGGTATATCGTTATTTTCATATTTCAATATGAAACTGAACAACTGGGAATGTTATTCAGTTTAATGATAAATTATCACTTGTTTTCAAATTAGCATACTTTTTCTATCTAATCCTGCATATTATTATGTTTATACACAACGTTCAGAAATACTTATTTTTTAAGGGAGAGAAATAAATAAACGCGCACAATGTTATCTATGTATTTAAAATTTAATTTTCGTTACTTATATACAAATTACAACATTCACTATTATAGTAGTTATTAGTTCACCTATATTTACACATGTAATAGTACACTTTAGAAGCGTAATTTCATTTATTCAAGTCATAAATTACACCAGGAAACTTCGGAATACGAGTACTCACGAACGATAATAACCAACAACATTGTTACACGGGAATCGAACCGGCCACCGGTGTTGACAACCATATTGTATCAATCGGAATAGAAAAATGGGATTGTACACTAGAAAAGTAAGGTTTGCCGATGTTAATATACAAGAGGAGAAAGGGTATAACAGTCCAAAAGGTAATAGTTACGAAACTGAACAACTGTCACCAAGAAGCATGATCTCTCATGATCAATATAATCATCACGATCAATTGAAATCTAAATGTGAAAATAATTTTTTAGATATTAGATTTTTTCATATTTCGACTTTCAACTTTTTTGAGGAAAGTTGTTCAGTTTCATTAACAACATTGTTCTGTTTAATTAATAATACGCTCAATTTCGGATTGATATACTTTTTCTCTTATATCATGTAAACTAACCGGTGTTCGCCAATACTTCGATTTCCCGTTCATTTTATACTGCACAGGAATAATTAATTGTACTTACTAAATCTATAATGTATAAAGATTCCCAAAGAAAGTAACGAGAACAATTAAAATCATCGAAAACTTAAATAATAACGAAATAAATAGTTATATATTTTTTTTTATATATATAAAAAAGTTTTCACCGACATCAAGTTCTTATGATTCCTATGAAAATATTGATTTTCTAACGCATGATGTTATTTTTATAATTCTAAAGTAATCTATAACCATATTTAGGTACACTGGAAACTATACAGGTTGTGATTTGTGACAGAACAAATAATTTCAAATCTTATTTATTTTAAGAGCTTCTAAGAAACTGAACAACTTTCTTTAAAAGCAACAATCTTTTATACAAACTGCGCATTCATAGTATGGTAGATTTAGCATAAAAAATTCAAAAATTGTTTTCATATTTCGATCTCTGTATTTACTTCGCAAAAATTGTTCAGTTTCATTAATACCGATACTAGATTTTTTATTATTGTAGATACTATATTTCTATTACACCTTATTACTGTCCATATGGAAATGATCATAATCTGAAAATATGTTATGTGTAATATTTAATAATTCATATAATTTAACACGCTTTCAATTCCGTCACAAAACAAAAGATGCTAGACTAGACCATAACGATTTTTGTCACGCTAATTCAACCTCTATTTACTGCATTTAAAACAAAAATTCAAATGTACATAGAATTATAATATATATATATATATATATATATATATATATATATATATATATATATATATATATATATATATATATATTATATGAGATGCACTCTTCACTGGTTTCAGACACACAGTTATATTGCATATCGTTAATTTACGATTAGTATTATAATGTGAATAACTATAGATTGAGGTTGTGGTTACATGCGGGCATTAGCGACTGCATATGAGCGTTAGTGTCTTCATGCGGTCGTTAGCGACTACATGCTGACATTAGCGACTGTATGCGGGCTTTAGTAACCGCATACATAACGGAGTTATTACTATAAGAATTGCAATTGAATAGAAAACAGAACATTTGAGTTCAACCGCAAAATTATAGTCTTTTATATTGGAAAAACTAACATTAAGTATATAAGACATGCTATAGAAAACGAGCTAATTGTTTAGAAATCACAAGAAAGTGAATCGGTGTATCTACTAAGCTAACACATACGAGGCTGGCTCAAACAAGAGTATCCATCGTCTCACTTGATATAGCGGAAAAGAGATCACGAGCTATGGATACTTCTCGTTCTAGCCAGATGACACTGGTAGCCGACAATTTTAAATTTAAATATTTTTAAAACTGGCACATAAGAAAATGTAATAAAAAAAAATATTAGCTGTGACAATAGTTTCATATTCGAAATTTGAATTATGTACTTAAAGGTGTTTAAGTGTATTTTTTCCTATAGTTTTTAATAAATCGAATGGTCTTTCTAGTTTCGCACGGTACAAAAAACATCAATTTACTAAGTATTTAATAAATAGCTATGAAATTTTAAAACATGCCGACCATTCATTTGAAACAGGAAAAGAGGATGTTATTTAAGTAGTAGTAGTATAAACTGTTTTCAGATGATATTTATTCACATAAAAATTAAATACTGGGCGAAATTAAATACTATCCATTCTGTAGTGCCATTTCTCTTAACTTTTCTTTAAAATTAAAATTTCATTTTGTTGTCACAACGAAATCTGCGGCTCGTGAACTATATGCGGCTCTTTGTATGTGAAATGCGGTTCTTTAATTCCATACGCAAGTATTATTTATTTTATAAAAAAAAAAAAAGATTAAAAATTAAAGGATTAGGCGCCAAACTTTATTTATGAACGTACTATTTATTATTGGCAAGAAAAAAAAAATGTGCCTGTTTAAAAACTTTAAAAATTTTATTTATGAAATTTGAAATTCTATTAAGAAAAATGGCGCATTCAAAGCTCAGTCCCACTGTTTAACATTCTCAGTATACTTACGTGCATTATTACAGTTTATTTAATTGTATCTTTCAATTGAGAAGTTATTAACATTCCTGAAAAATGTTTGAATAATATATGTAGACTACCAAGTAGGTATACGGCCAGTTTACTTAATTCATATTATTTTTTATATATGTACTCGTAATTTAATTGTCGGCTAACTACATTGTCTAAATATTGAAGTGACCGCCGGACGTTACATTTGAAAATCGAAACAGTCTTTATCAACGTACCTATACAAATCATTATTAAAAAGTATTCGAATGTAACCGACACACAGGAATTTAAATTTCAAATCCAACGTCCAACAGTCCCTCTGTCAATGGTATACAAAAAAAAAACAAGACTCCCGTACAAAAGTTACACTTAATATTGGCCCAGAAGATTGATAATTCATAAAAATAAGTCATTATCTCGTCATAGTCGTAGAATACTGACGGATGTTTACATGTAATCTTTGTCAGATCCGTCAGTATTCTACGACTATGACGATCTGAGGACGAGACATAAGTGGAGTAGAATACTTATTAAAAAAATAAAAATTTCTTTGTCTATACACTATAATTTCTTGTTTTATTTTTTTTTTTTTTAAACAATTGGGAACGTTTGATAACAGCTATCAGTAGCTGGTTAGAAATGAGTGTACAATTATTTTAATGCGTTCTATTTTCAGGGTCGTTTAGTGTCGCACTGTAGGTGCATCTTGTATTTTTTTTTTGTATACCAATGACTGCTGTACATAAATTAAATGCATCGTACATCGCCACTTAACTTGTCTAACTACATTAATTACACAGTCCAACTGGATTGCACTCGTTTGGAACTATGCGCTGCCGCCGGCGCGCCTTGTCATATATCACAACTAAATAATAAATTATATACTATATGCACTTTATATTTCGTCACTGTACGTACCCGACTGTACTTAATTTAGGGATATGGTATTTTGTGAGCATCTACAATATTTCTACGATCAATTTGAGATTCTTTAATCGATAATTTAAAAAAATTCGAAAGTTTTTTTTTAAAGAATCTTCGGAAGCGACGCGTTCAGCCAGTAACATTTTATAAGTACTTAAATGCAGTTTTTATTTTTTTATTTTTACTTACACTGTTTTGGTCATTGTCAACGACTTCCGTGTACTAGTTAAGTGCACACGCGGCTAACGTGTGGAAAATGTATGTCGATAGAAAGAGACAAGATAATAATTTTTAAGTTTTAAATTCTTAGTTGGTCGAGTCATCGTTTTTCTAAGTGCTTTTCTAACGGGTACTCAAAATGCAAATTCACTTTTTACCACACTCTTCAATTGGCGGAAGATAATGTTTAACCATATTAGTTAACATTTTTAATACAGAAATTATTAATTATTCAAGCAAAATATGTAATAAACCTAAGCAAGTTATTTGCAGGAATTTATTACTTAATTTTGATATTAGATTACCTATTTACCTACATATATGTACTTGTCAACGTTAATGGTCGCAAAAACCATTTACATGTCATAAGTGTTATTTATCATTGTATAAAATAAATCTTTAGTTTATGTTTTCATATTTACTATGATGTTCGGTACTTGGGCTGCGGCCAATATTAGCTATTGTCTACTAAGTGAAATTGGCAAGTCGAAATTGGCAAGTTTTCGCAACGCCTATTCTATATAAGAACAAATAACTAGGTTGTACCACTTCCATAGGTTTTTATATAAATCATATGACTTGACCGGTTTCGCAGTATGAAACTTATAAATTTTATGAATTTAAAAATCGCCAAATTTACATAGGTAACGGTAATAAACAGAATTTACAATAAAACATAATTATTATTTTTAACAGATTACGTTAACTACATTCATCATTTAATTTTAATTAATTGATTGATCAGCTTTCAATGAAATTTGGTACATGGATATACTATGTCATAGATAGGACACTTGTATTAAATAAACGCGGGCAAAATTTCTAGGTTCAACAATAAGTTACATAAAAATAACCGCTTACCAACGAGCGTTTTTTATAGTAGCATATCATTGCAGCGATATATAAAAAAAAAGTTATAAAGTAGTTAACATGTTACTGGCTGGTCGGTCACTATGAGATGCTACAAAGGTTCGCAGAAGATTAGCAAGGCATAACTGTGTGAACTTATCTGTATTGTGACGCCTGTTACTAGTAAGAAACGCGTGGGAATGACAGTACCCTATAATTATTGTATTGCAGTGTTCTTTTTTTTACAACTCAGGGGGCAAACGAGCATGCGGCTCACCTGATGGTAAGTGACTATCGCCGCCCACGATCACCCACAACACCAACGGCATTGCAGGTGTGCTGCCGGCCGTTTAAAAAGGGATATGCTCTTTTCTTTAAGGTTATGATGTCGTATCGGTTCGGAAATACTTATGTTCTTAACACGCCTAGGTTTTAATACTGCACGTTGTAATGGCAGCTTACATGTAACATTCAAGGTTTATAAAAATGATAATAAATCAATTAAAAGTAATTGCTATTAGGTACATAGTGTTATATAATCTAGATAGAGTATCTGTCAGCAAACGCTTCGCCAAAAATAGGACAACTTTTTCATTCTTTTAATTTTGAGTCATTATGCAGATTTTACGAATCATCAGTGCGTGACTAGGAATAGTAAAATTTTACAATTATTGTTTGCAACATAAAAAACGATGTCGCAAGTTTTGTTTTAAAAAATACACACCAGCCAATAGCTGGCTTATCATTTTTTTGATATTCAGTGCTCCGTCTAGATGTATATATCTAGTACGTATACCTACGTATAAAGATTTATAAAAATGCCTAATGATAAATGTAATTCAGTAGGTAGTTTTATAATAATTAATTGATATTCGTAAGTAAAAAACACATGATATACATTTTCGTTTTATAAATTCACGTATAGTGGTTACAAAACATAATTGCTTGATAGTATTTATTTGATATCTTAATGCAAACATGATTTTATACAGTATTAAAACTTAAGCTAAATTAAAATACAAATGAAGTGTTTTACATTAAAATGCTATTAAACATAATAATAAAAGCTCAGATATTTAATAGTTAACACAATTTTTCAAATATAATAACTTATAAAAATACAACAAAGATGAGAATTCGATGGATCACCCCACTTTTATATATAAAAAGCCAATATGCGTCATCTATCAAAACCAATATCAGTGTATATAAATACATAAATAAAGGATTAGTAGCTATGTTACTAGATCTACGTCTAGATAGAGTTTCAATTTCATTATTATTACGTGAGAGAGTATTACGCGTCAGCAAAAAGTTGGCTGTTTTTAAGACGTTTTTGACACTCGATGCTCTATCTAGATGCATATGATCTAATGTAAGTATACATATAATATTAAAACAGAAACCATTAGGTACAATACTTTTAGGCTTTGGTTTCTAATAAAAGTATTTATAGGAAATAGTAGTTAAAGCTTCAATTATAGACACCATCGTTTCTCAACGTCAAAGTCAAGCATTACAAGCGCCAAAAATAGATATCTTTCATACAAACTTGTGGTCCTTCCTTCACTGTCGTGACTTCCAAGTTGAGAAATGATGAATTACAAATACAGATCTTTTTTTTTTAATGTTGGCATCATAAGAACATTAGTTAGTGTAACAATTAGACACAGACGATCGGAACTTCGTGAAACGGAACGGAAATGTGATAAAATGTTTCACTCGATGGACAAGGAACTATGTACACAAATTTACTGTACTATAAATCGAAAAATACATTTCTTATGTTCAAATTTTATTAAGGTAAACGTTCTGATCGCCTTGTTATACAGATCAGTTCACAGGCTATGGTCACAGTCCAGGTGGGACGGCCGCAGTGTTGCGACGATGGGGGACTAACAACATCGGACGGATCATTTCGTTCACCATTGGGCTCCACGAGTATGGGGTGAAGAGTGTTTGTTAAATATGTAGTGAACTAATAATGACAGAATAGTTTTTTCTTTATCTTTGACAAGAATTTTGTTCTATATTTAAAGTTATATTTTTTTCAATGCTCGACGACAATAATTTTGTTCCGTATTTAAATTCAATTTAGTTGTTTTTTTGTTGATGGCCAGTAAGTAACAAAGGAAATTAGACTAACACATTATTTACAGCTATCAAATGCGAAGAGTATTCGTTGGTGTGTCCCATTAAAACTTTTAAAATTCGTAAAGGTAGTTTGTTACCTATATATGTATACATTTATATAGGTCCATATAGGTCTTAAAATGATTTATCATTGACAATATTCTTTTGTAAATGATATTTAAAATTTTATAACTTATTTGTGTCGAGATACTTGTAAATCAGACTTTAAAATTAAAATACTATAATGTATTATTTGAACCAGAGATATTGAATGTGTCTCAGAGAGCAAAAATTTACTCGCGAGTGGGACTAAGGGCATTTCCATAGGAATAAGGACAATGTTGTTTACTCTTATGGCATCGTATAGAAGCTATTACAGTTATAGCAGTATGGAATGCATAACGGCCAGTATGTTTATAAAATTACTGGCAACTCGCTCATTGCAATGATACGTTGATGATATATTTTTTTATTCGTAAGACACGAGCAAGGAAACAAAGTGTCATACGCCACGGCAAGAATGAAAAAACTTGAAACAAAATTTTATAGTATATTTCAATAGAATTCAATGAAAATGCAAAAAAGAATAATTAAATAGACCGAAAGACAGTTTGTTGATGTTCAGTACGTACGAAAAATCGATTCGTACGATTAAATAATCGACTAATTAATCGATCGAATGTTTCAATTCTATCTATTTATATTTCTGATATTATTATTATTTCATGACGATTTTCATGAAACTTGGTTGCCTTTTCATTAGTTCTATTGAAACAGGTTTTTTTTTATTGGCTTTTGTGGTAATAGTAGGCTAATGTTAATATAGCCCTATTAAGGTACTCTAGCTCATTTATGTCCCACTACTGGGCATTATGATATAACACCGTTATTGTTTGATAATATTTTAAGTTAAGAGTTATACCTACTTGGTAAAACTCTTAATTTTTTCTATGAAAATAAAATACATATAAATTTTAGATTAGGTACTTGGTTTCATATAAAATAAAATATATTTCGTATAATTCTAAGTCTCTTGAAATAGTGTCAATAATTATATTTTAATAACCATTCGGTTTAAGTATGTTTAATTTTGGCCATAAATATTTTTTATACTTATGTTAATAATATAAATATTAAAATATCTAATATTCTGTCATTTGTTATCGTTTAGATAGAACTCTCCACCCGGACTCGGGGAACTTACGAACAGAGCAATCAATGACCAATTCGGTAGTTGGTACTTGATGGTTACATAAATTGTATTTGACTTATTTGGTACCAATAGTCTTGGTATTTCATATTAATGAATTAAAACAAAAAAGTATAGACATAACGCTATTGGTTACAAGAGTTGCGTAGGTGTTGCCATGTTTAAATACTTTGATAACTGATGTAAATAACCACTGCAGTTTCGTCTCAGGATTTATTTATTTTATAATGTTTATCAAGATCGAACAGTCCAGAACGTAATAATATAATAGAAAAAAATTACAGTGTTTTGAATTGATTAATAACGTTTTTTAGTAGTTTGAGGTAATTTAAAAACGAATTTCTGACAACATTTCTGCGTGAAAAGATGTTGATATTGATTTTTAGGAAGTATTTTCTTGAGTACGATTTAAAATATTTATTTGTATGGTTTTGGTACAAATTTTGTATAAAATTATTTGACTGAGCGTGGCTTTGTCACATTGAGATGGTACCTAATTATATATTGAGCTGCGAAGTTGTCGTGTTTGCTAGGTCTCAACTCGGACTAGCTTGCGTCGATTTGATAATAGATGGCGGTAACTTACGTAGTCTATACTTTTTTATTTATCCGAGATTATTTTTGTGTCTATGTAACAATCATTAGGTACCTTCCAGACTGAGCATTGATTGCTGTTTGTTGCTTGCTGTGTCGGTAGGGTCCCCGTGCCCCGGACTCGTGTAAGGCCGCACCCCTCCCCCCCTGCCGTCGTCGCTCACTGCGGGTGCGCGGGCGCAGGCGGCCCGCGCGGGGCTCGCGGTCAGTCGCCCGTTGCGGTCACTGTAGTCCAACTCCACGGGCTGTTGTAGCTCTTTTGACTGGAAAGAAGAGAAGGCATATATTAGGTTTTATTTTAGTGCAATTTTGAACGAGCATGGTAACGCATAAGGGCTATTGTGTGTGTCACAGTATATTCTGTGATGTCCATGGTAATCAACATGTTCGCCATTCACATTCAAAGGTGAGAAATAAAATAGGGAAGAAGGTCTCTATAAAAAATTGGGGGTTGTTAGAAAATTAATATAAAATCTTCATGGGAGTAAACTATTGATTGTAAAAAGATGGTGTCCCACAAAGAAACTGACTTCATTTGTGACAAAACCAGTTAATTTGCTGTAAAACTAAACTGCTGAACCGATTTTGATATTTTTTTTATACAACTTAGAATGGCAAACAAGCTGAGGGCCCACCTGATGGAAAGTGGTAACCGTCGCCTATAGACATGAGCAGTACCATGGACATAACAAAATATACTGTTTCGCCCATGATACCCCTCATGCGTTGCCATTCCTGAGGACTCAGCTGTTATTCCTCTGTACCCAGTAAATTCACGCCATATCCCACCCTTCAAACCGAAACACAGTCATGCAAACACAGCTGCTTCACGGTTGAAACACGAATGGGACAGAGGTACCCAAGCAATCGACTTTTGTACAAAGTCTCCCTCTGGTAATATTTTGTGAGACCAATCTGCCAGTATATCTTTTCAGAAAAAAAGAATTTTTCAAATCGGCTTTCAACTGACGGAGTCATGAGGTAACAAACATATTATGAAGTACTTTTGACTGATTTTGCTAGTCAACAGTACTTTTGATTGGTTAAGAGTTTAGACCGCAACATGTATAGTATTAAACGTCGCAGGAAAGTTGGCTGTACAGTTAAAAGTCCATCAACTGTAAAATATAAACTACCTCAAGCGAACTTAAAGGCTAATGAGTAATTACGTCCCTCCACATTTTACTATATCAGACGTTATCGATCAATCTTCTTGCATGCAATTCAGGTTTTTATCAATTTGATCTCTATTACAAAAGGTTGAACGTTTTTATTCGTCTGCGATATCAAAGTTACATATTAATTAATTAAAAAAATATTGTATTTTAGTCTAAGATCTCGCTGCTGACTTGTGCAGGTATCAGACTTTTAATGAAAGATGGCGAAAATATACTGAGTACAGAGGAATAACATCTGAGTCCTCAAGAATGGCAACGCATGGGGGGTATCATGGGCAAAACAGTATACTCTGTTATGTCCATGGTACTGCTCATGTCTATAGGCGACGATTACCACTTTCAATTAGGTGGGCCGTCAGCTTGTTTGCCATTCTAAGTTGTATAAAAAAAAAATATAATACATTGCACCAGGGTTGCATGCTCTGCATCAATTCCCTATGACCACAGATAATATAATACTATTGCTGTTACTACATCATGATCACTTAGAACAAAACAAAGATATTGGATTAAAATCCTTGCGGTTGCTTTGAATTCGGATTTATTATTTTTATCTTTGTTACCTCATAACTTTGTCAATTCTAAACTGATTTTGAAAAATTCTTATTTTATCTGAAAGGATACATTTACGGGATTCATCTTATAGAAATTTCATTAAAATAGTTTCAATAGTTCAGTTGTTAAACCAAAACAACTGCTACAAATGAAGTCGTTTTTTTTTGTGGGACACCATCTTTTTACAATCGATAATTGACTCCCATGACGATCCCCAAGAAAGCTCGTGTATAGAAAAGAATAATTAGACTTCTGTTTAGTGTAAATCTTATTAAAAAGCAAGTTTATCAAATTTATCAAAATTACCCATTTTCACAAGCAAACCAACATAAAGCAGGCAATTAAATGAAATTAAATAAAATGCATCCGGCATTTGTATTATATTTTCGCTTATTCTCGTTTAAAAACTTCATAATTTATTTTAATTTCCAAAGGTTTGTAAGAGATTGCTCTAGCAATAAGACCGCCATTTTTATCTTTATGTATATACATGTATATTTACATTTTATGCTACTATATTTCACTGCATTGTTTATATGCTATTATTTATTTTTGTTGCTGGTACAATAAAGAGTTAAACAAATAAATAATAAAGATATAAATAAATTTATTAAAAAAAAAGTATTATTGCAGAAATCAGCGTTGGGATCTTAGTCTATTTGTAATCACTTTATCGGATTAATTCTTGTATGAAGTATAGTGTTTGCACGCTACGTGCTTATGCGCTGATCGACGGTTTTGATGAAAGAAAAACTTATTTGTATGTTAACTAGAGTCCGGAGGTTGCTTTCAATAATTACTTTGATATGTTAATCCTGTAGACGCAATATGTGTTACTTTTATTATAAAAATCTTTTATTAATCAGAAATTTTAAATGCAATAACTTATAGGGAATAATATAGATAAAATGGGGAAAGAGATTATTAGTGGCTGTAAATTCATTGTTTGCATCTTAAATTATATAGATGGAGTATCGAGTCTCAAAAACGGGAGAACTTTTTGTCAGCTAATTGTCAAATTAGGAGGGAAAGGGATTGTTAGTAATGGGGTCAAAATAGCCATATTACTAGCAATATACCCTGTCAGGTCGACCTCCACGTGGTTCCCCCTGGAAACCATCGTGACTAATTCTAGTTTAATTCGTCAGGATGGGCTAACTGACCTACTTTCATCTTCATCTGTCATCCCTCACTGGTGCCCCGCCAGTGTGTGCCGATAGCGCAGACGGGGTTACCATACCATTATCACCTATTAAAAAAAAATTGTCAAATTAGCTGACTCGTTTTATCAGTGTTCTATATACTTACACCTACAGTGCATTTTGACGTATCTATATTGAATTATTTAATAAATAAAATTAGTTTATGCGCATTGAAAAGGTGCAAAAATAACTTGAAACAAAATAAACATAGAAGTTATAAAGGAAACACTGATAACTATTTATCACGCAAAATTGTATGAAAAAGTTGGCCCGCTTTTATCGAAGCATTTGTATGGAGATATTCTATCTATTCTATATAATCTAAGGCTAACATATAGATAGAGGTGGATAATACATATATAGTGGGGGGAAAGGGATTGTTAGCAATGGAGTTTGACAGCCCCATTGCCAGCAATATGCCCTATTAGGTCGAACACCACGTGGTTCCCCCTGGAAACCATCGTGCACAATTCTTGTTGAATTCATCACGATGGGCCAACTGACCTGCTTCATCCTCACCTATCACCCCTCACGCTGCCCCGCCAGCGCATCCCGATAGCGCAGGCGGGGTTACCATACCATTATCACCCATTAAAAAAATACATATATAGTAATATATATATATTTCAGTTACAATATTTATATATTGGTTTAATAATGAATATGTTAAAAGTCTGTTATCCAATACTATTTTTATAATCCGACCGATATGGGTGATATCGTGACCTTTTCTTACGCCATCAATGACCAGAGGAACCCAATATATAGATATTGGATCAGTACTGATATTACCTAATACCGTATCAGGTCAATCTTCACGTGGTTTCCCTATAAACCTTTGTATTTAATTCTTTTTAAATTCGTTACGTTGGCCAACCTATCATCTTTCACTGGCGCTCTGCCATCGTATATCGAGAGCGCAGGCTGGGTTACCATTCCATTTTCACAGATTAAAAAACAAGATTTTTTGTAGGGAAATTTGGCAGTTGATAAATTAGTAACATCAAATAATATTAGCATGTTTATAATTTAATTTAGTGATTTAAAACGCAGCGATAAACGATGTCACGTTTCGTAGACACAATAGATTTAAAATATTTGAATTCAGGACGCAGATTTCGGTGTTTAAAATATTACTTGTTTGTCAACAAGCAACAAGTTGCTTCCAGATGTTTTGTAAAGAAAATAGTCATAAAATAATATGTCCTTTTGGAAGTCGCTTAAGTAACCGCCGTTAATCTTGAGTTAATCTCGAATTAAACCGGACTCAAGATTAACTAATTATGAATACAAATTAATTAATATGGAACCAATATAAACAATAGAAGATATCGCGTAATACATAAACACACAAAAAAAATATTTCGAACTGCCTTTAAAAATTATCTTTACTCACAATTACGGTAACTGTCATTAAAATAACAGACAAATTCATGTCAAGTGTAGTAACAAGGTTTTATAATGGCAACATTTGTGTGCATTAACATGCGTTTTTACCGGCCTTAAATGGTTTAAGTAGTTATAGAGCATTCCACTATTGCGTGCCATGAATTTATTCATTTGTACACGTTATGAATGACGGGTATTCGCATTAGCAAACAATTAAATGTTGATCGATATACATTATTAAATAATTATTCTGAGTAAATATTTCTCTCGATATTTACGAAAAAATATAAATATATACATATTGCACACAACGCCATCTAGTTTCAAATTTAGTAAACTTGTACTATAGATACTAAATAATCGATACATATTTACTTTTTTTTTAAATACATAAATACTCATAGGACAATTAACAGCCGATATGGTAAGTGAACGTCGAGGACTTCACCGCGGTCCCCTTAGAAGCCATTCTTGGGGACCCGAATTGACTTCATCCCTATTGTTTCATCTTTTAATATTCCATCCTTATACATTAAAAAAAAATGTGGTAACGCACAATCTACAGATGCGCCAAGCCAACTGTCCGCACGACGCAGCAGACTGGAGCGATGCACGCGAACTTGACCCAGTTGTTGGAAGCGATGAATTATTTAGCGAATACCGGCGGCGTAGTCCGCGCTACACGATTGCACGCAACATTTTGCATGCGGTGCGTTACTTACTGGCCGTCAGTGTTGCCAGGTTGGATACTATTTTCGCATTTTTCGGTAAAAATTTATGTTATGGAAAAATTTTGATGAAATACAATTGTTAGTCGGTAAAATATGTATATTTCTTATGGCAGTCTATGGTTCCCCATAGACTAGGTTCAGCAGTGGACAGATAACGGCTGATACATGATGATGAAAATATGTATGTAAATAAATACTGGAAAGATCG